TATATTCTACTTTCTGCATTCATAAATCAAATTTGATTCAACTTTATCGTACTACATTGAGAACATAACAGAATCATATTATTTAAATTTTATATGACTCAATGAACCAGAAATAGTATGTTATGTAGCTACAGAAATTATGTAGCTGCATAATTTAGGAAATTACTACACGGAAAAAAAATTCTTCTTTTGAAAATATGTTTAGTCTCAACGTAAAAATTTTGAAATGATATTATATTGCGTTAAAAAAAGGAAAACTTACTTGAATGAAGCAATTTTATATAATCCAATCAAGAAAAATATATGCTTATTATTTAAGAATAATTTTCTTGAATGCATATTTTTAAATTAAAGATTATAATGATTAAAATGATTTTTTATTGTCAAAATAATTATATGTATTCTTAAAGTGGCAATTAAAGTATTTAAATTAGAGTGTAAGATTATTAAATGCTTCTGAGAAGATTATAGATTGTTGCGTATATACAAAACAGTGAACGCGTTAATTTGAGTATATAAAAGTTGATCCGACACTTTTTTTCTGTGTTATAAACTTCCCTTGAAGCAGAAAAATAATATAATTTTTTCTTGATTTAACAAATTTTTGAATTTAAATCGATAGGGATCTAATTTTTCTCACATATTTTTTTAAAAACTTACATGTGTGACAAAGTTTATAATTTCTTTATTAAAATGTTAAAATATTTTAAAAAGGACTAAGATCTAAAATGAGTTACATGTGAGGAAAATTCGGAAAAAGAATTGCAAAACGCGCTTCCGCGTTATTTATCTTCGCCCGTTTATTCTCAGGCCGGATCTAAGAGACATCGACGCCATCGATATATTGGACCTTTTATTGTTCCAGTTCGATCTTCGTGGGAGGCTGCGCAGCGCGTAAAGATAAACATCCATACGCAAGAATAACATCTTCCAGATCCCTCTAATCACAACACTCGGAGGATACCCTGTACATAAGCGAGGAACACGGGTAGGAAAACACTTTTGATAGAGCCATCGGAAAAATGAGAGAGCGGCCTGGCAATTCATCAAGAGAGATCATTATTCGCGATAACAGAGGAAACTAGACCACGCATATAACAATCGATTCGTAACTTTTGGAAAAATAAATAAATAACTACGCGCATTTTATTCGAAAATTAAATCAAATCTCTTTTTTTTTGGCGCGAGTCTAATTAGAATGAATTAAATGGTTTTCGTAGAATCTTACGGCACAACAATTAAATATCGTTAGGGAGGAAACAAGAAGGAAGGTTAGTAACAACTGTTCTAATAAACAATACGTCGAAAATATACGAGAAAAATTGCCAGATGCAGCATTTTTTAATTAGTGATAATAAAATTATTTTATCTACATTTTATCTACTTAATAATTGACGTTCTCATACACAATTGCGCTTGTTTCATAAATATGTAATTTTATTCAGATTATTTTGATACATTCCACGCTGTTCTACAACGTTTCGCAATATAATCGAAAATAGAACAACTTGAGCTACGCTCGATTCTAATGGCACTTCGAGTTCGCTAAAGAAGATAGTGTTACATCGTATTCGCGTTACATATTGCGAATGTTTTAGATTGCTGTATTGATTAATAATCTCGTTCGACACATTTCAGAATTTCGATTTTCCCCTTTTTCACGTTATACAAACGAATGGAATGATAAAACGATTGAGATTTACATGAAATATTACCAATAATTAGTAACAAATTTAACAATAATTGTTTTTTTATAACAGCAGAACTGATAGGAGTTTATGCTGCAAAATTATTAATTTTCCTTGATATTAAGAATTGGCTTAACAGTTTAAAGAAAAGGAAGGGATTTGTTAATTCCTTCCCTTTTTAAAAATTCCAAAATATTGAGTCATTTATTCGTTAAGACTAAAGCGGATTACATTGCTAATGCTTCCAGCTGTTGAGGACCAAGTCACATTGTTACATTCGAAAGAAAAAGATTGAAAGAAATTTCAGTCCATCTTAATATTATCCTTAGTTTCGAAGATAAGAATACAAATACAAATTCGAAGTGAAGAATACAATTTGGCATGAATTTCTATTAATCCATCCTTCCAACTATTTTTTGACAGAGCGCAGAAATTTCTCAACAAAACGTATCAACGGCGAGATATACAAAATGGACATTACATCTTACATGGAGGCACATGTGAGACTCGCGGCACAGTCTAATACTTACCGAACGAGTTCGTATTAGGTTTACCTTATCGCGGCAATAACGTATTATCTCGAGTTCGGAGCAACTTTAGCACAAATTAACTTCTATTGGTCTGTGTGAAGTGAAACGGATAATGAGTGCCGAATTGTGGAGCCGTAATGCTAAACAGTCTAAACTTCGCTCTGTCACGGCGTAAAATCTCAATCAGCCCACGCGAAGGACAGTATTGCGAAATTTGTTCAATCGACTTCTACAAAATGTTATACAAAATATGACACGATATCTGCTTACGATATGCGTTTAGAGTGTGTTACCACTCGTAAAACTACATCTACGTATTTATTGCCAGTTGGGAGATATATCGGTAAGGATATCTGCCGTAATAAACCGCGGAATATCCGTAAAAATATCTATGTGTAAACAATACCGGCGAAGACACGATATAGGTGGATAAATAAACTTGCATGTACCAACTTGTAACTGTGTGATAGTCTAGGTGTGAATTCAAAGGCGGAAACTTGCAAAATAGACTCTTCTAATCAGAGTAATAAAATTCTCTTACATCTCTTATATCTTGACAGCCAGGTTTCGGCCAAGATTCGTACGTTTCCACAGCGCACCGTTCAATTGCTCTTTAAGGTGCAACTTACTCTCTCTCTTTTTTATTTTTGGTAAAATCGTACGATAGTGAGGTAACTGTGCCAATTAACGGTATACTCTTTAGTTCATTTACAACGTAACGTAGTATCTTAACTCTCGCGCTTGACAATTGGTGAAAGAAACGAAATTATAAGTAAGATTTTCTTAAATTTACGCAAGGTCTACTTACAATTTGTAATAAATATATGAAGACGACTAAGAAGAAATAACATAGCTGCTATGAAAAATACAAAGCAGATCTACTGAAATTAAAGCAGGTCTACGTAAAGATATAGAATATATGTATAATACATACGTATAGTAACGGAATATTTCAGTCTGCGTGCTTAGCTCGAGAGTTAAATATCAAGCATAGTTTTTTTTAAATAAGTGATCAGAATAATAAATTAGTATATGATTAAGGATGGATAGACGTGAAAGATATTTTAAAATAGTTTAAAGTATTTTTGTATGTCGACGTGTAATCTATTGTAATATTAAAATCTGTATATTCACGTTGAGCTTTGTTTAATTAAAAGATATAAATGGGAAGAAATTTTAAGACTCACGCTTTTCGTGTTATGTCCCGAAAGCATATTTTCACACAACGACGATTGTCGAGCAAGCTTATCTGTTCTAATGAGCAGTAGATAAGATAAGATGCATTGTGGTAAGATAAACAGATGGAGATACGAGAGGAATTAGTATTAACCCTCTGCGGTACCAAACATTTCCCAGAAATAGGTGAGAATTAGGAATTTCGTCCACGGTTTAATTCCTTTTACATAGTTAAACATGTAACTCTCGACTTATATTACTTAAGGAAATTTATGAAGGTTATAAAAATATATTTGCAAATATAGTTTATAAGGGTGGGACGGAACGTTTGGAAAAGCTATTTCTGAAAATTACCGCAAAGCACTATGTCGAGCTAATTGAATATTGACTATGGAATTTTTAAGAATTAAATTAGCAAAGAACAAAAGTAAAAGGGGGAAGATGGAAAATGCAAGAAAGGAGAAGGCAACGTAACAAAAAAAAAACAGTGTTGTATAGATTGAAAATATAACATTTGTCGTGTAACAAGCAAATTTGAGCGCCACATATGCAATTGCGCGAAATAATTTAAAAAACAATAGTATTCTCTAAAGTCACAAATCTTGAAAAATATTCAATCGCGTTTGAATTACGTTTGACCATTCTAGCATCAAAATGCAAAGTAAATATTATCTATTTTAACATGCGATTCAGTCGATTTCAGTATTGTTAATTATGCAGAAATATTTCGCGTAACAATATCAACGACCAAGCAAATTACACGCGCTTAATTAGAATAGCGCTTAATAGTAATAAATAATTATTTCGAAAATATGAATTAATGAACAAGTGTTAATAACAATCGCTGATCTATTAGTGATTGCTCTTTCTCTAACGAAGATGCGAAACGATCGTTTCTCAGCAACGATCGGGTAAACGATCTCAAATGAAGGCTACAATGATGTGCATAGAGTTACAATCGATAATAATATCTTTGCCAATACGTTCTAGTTGAATAACGCGCGAATAGTTAGAATAGCGATAATCAATATATTGCGATGAAAATAATTATTCAGTGTTCCTGCCGAAATCAATGTGTGTTGACGAATGAGAGGATTCCAGATTAAGAAGAAGCTAAAATTGAAATACTTAATATAATGATTTTATAAAATCCAGACAGTCCATGCGTTGGCTTTTATAAAATCACTACGGGGACTTCACAAAAGACGAGACGTTTCAAGAGAGTGAACCGCTTAACATTTCATCAATTAATTTACCAGCGATTTTCGCACAATCGTCAGAGATTTCATGTTTTCAAGTTAAATGCTTTCATCGCAGTATCTATAAGGCAACAATCGCGCGCATCCGGCGCGTGCACTCACTCAGAGATCGGTCACCGGTCCGGATAAATTTACGCTACCGTCTATCACGAGTGTAATTTTGGAATCGCTCGCGATCGACGAGTTCTTGTCACTTCTGGACGTGTCCGGCCTTTCATCCTCATCGTCGTCGTTGTCGCGGCCATCCTCCGCCTCGTCTTCCGACGATGAAGATGACGGCACCTGATTTGTTGGTTCCTTAGATTGGTCCTCAGGAACGGGACACACGCCGAAAGCCAAGACGTCGCAAATCCTGCTTACAGTTTCCGTGGCCGTGGCACCGTTCACCTTTTTACGTAGTATCTCCACCAGCTTCTCCAGTCTGACAAATTACGTTTCGTGTCACGTTACATTCGTTCGTGCCGTGCTTGGGAGCGTGCCGTTTTTCCACCGCTAATGCATCCAAACATTTGCTAATGCATCCAAAGACTTGCCCAACAAATTCTTTAGCAGAGAGTAAAGCGAAAGTTTCAGCGAAAAGCCATGCTGCCGGCTAGAAAACAGAAGAAAACGGTGCGATTCGGTGCTTGCCGTCCAGATGAAGCGTGCGCTCGGGAATCTCTCTGGGCGCGAGAGAGAGAAAGAGAGAGAGAGAGAGAGAGAGAACAAAAGTCGTTGGATCTAACCATGCAAACAGGATTGCACTCGCGATACAATTTATATGAATAAAATAATTTTGGGAAGAAAAATATATAACAATTCAATGAAAATGTAGCCTGAATTATCGTTATTATATTATTCGACGTTACAAAATACAAAAAATATCTTGTCAAATCGAATCTAAAAAGCATCAGTGAAAAGAGAGAGAGCGTACTTCCGGGTAGAAACATACTCGGATTAAACTTTCATAATATTCACTTTAAATTGTAAAGAATTGTGGAATTATAGGATAAATATAGGTTAGTAAAAAATTAATTCAGAAATTCGTACAATTTCTGAATTTGTAAAAATATGGCAACAGCTATTATCTCATCGAATTTTTATGGCGTTTAAAGGAATAACGGCACGCGGTGTGTCTAGAGCAGAATAAAGTACATGCACGCAGCAATACAGGTACAACAACAGGTACATACAAAATACATAGGAAAGATATAATAGAAACAAAAGCATGCTGATAAAGCCGACGATGTCATGCTGACAAATCAACACACATTTAGTTAACATATATATTACACCATAATAATATAAACATTTATGAAAGATTGTATTTATTGAACATATCTCTGTGCTTTTTACATACATTTCGGACACATTGATCGGCTCTCTCTACTTAAGCTAGAGAAGCGGGTATTCATCACGAGTTAACAGTGTATTAAAATGTTTGCATACTTAAATAGCAACTGGAGTTGCCAAGTCAATCTACGCATAGCCCTTTGGTCGTTAATGCTAAACAGTTACCATTCTTCACCTTCCTTTCCACGAAAAGAAGAGTTCCTTAGACTGGCCTAAACATAGACATAGAAGATAGACCCAGTATACGTGTTCCCAACGTGTCACGAACAGACAGAGAGGCAAAATAGAGTGGCCGCAGGAGGCATGAGATGGAGCGAGAGACAAAACATTGTCTGCGCAAGACAATATTTTGTCTCTCACTCCCTCTCATGCCCCCTGCGGCCACTCTATTTTGCCTCTCTGTCTGTTGTGTTCGTGACAACTTTTCTAAGGAAATGAACGGGCATGCTGGGTCTATCTTCTGTGTCTATGGGTCTAAAGCACCTCGCTTATGTAAAACAATGAACAATACAACTGCATAATCGTAATGGATCGAGAACTTCTGTTTCCGGTTAGTAGAAAGCCATCTTTCTCCAATTTCCTTTTAAGATGCAACGTTACGGAAATAGTGCCAGCGAAATGTCGCGAATGAATTATGTCACTCCGGTATCTCAGCTAACATTGTTCTGCAGTTCGAATCATATTGTCAACGAGCTACTCAAGTCATAATTGTAAAAGGAGAGAACTCGGTGTCAGCAGATTAATAGAAGAAAAGACTTTTCTCTCAAAATAACTTGTGCCAATATTTTCAGCCGACGTACAGTTTTTATGTGAACACGTCCAAAAATACGAATCTCCTTTGGGTACCGGTAATGACGTAATTCCTTCGAAGTGCCGGGTTGGGAAGGAAGGGAAGGGTACGACGAACGCGTACGAAGAAGCATGCATGAGGAGTGAATAATAGACCTACGTGCTATTCGATATGTACATAGTGGTAGCCTCTAGTAAAAAGCCCCTTGAAGCCCCCTTTCGCGAATATTGGCGACGAGTAGCGTGGTGTGTGGCTTTCTTTTTGACATTTTTGCTCGGGGCCCCGCGCGTACGCGCGCAACCTAGATATAGGCGGTGGTGTAGGTGGCACGTGAAGGTGCTGTTTGGGTTCTGGAGGTCAGGGTTCTCATCGAACAGAGGTCTTTCGGGACGATGGGGCCACCGCCGATCACGACGACGTCCGGCACGTCGGTGATGGCCCGACTCGTGCGATCGTCGCCGGGAAAACGATCCCCGTCCCCGTTCGCCGTGTCGCGATTGCTCCCGGAGGTGCACGGCGGGACCGCGTCGGCCAGGATCCTGATGTCCTGCCGCGGATCCTCGTCGGGCTCGTCGGCCTTGATGAACAACTTCCTCAAATGTCCCTTCTTGCGCCGCGGCTTCTTAAAACTGCCCCGCTGATTGTTGAACTTGCACAGCTTCTGCTGGAAACTGTCCGACTGGCTGTCCGAGAGGTACATCAACTTGTCCGCTTTGCTCGGAACGTCGCTCAGTTTAGCCAGCGGGTCTTTCTGTTCCTCGAGGACCTCGGGTGATCCGCGATTCTCGGCTCCATCCTGTCGCATTACCGACAGCATCTCCATCGCTTTCTGAATCGTCGCTTCAGATATTTCCAGCAGCTGATCGTCAGTGGACAATTCCTCTGGGATACTAGTCAATGAATCCTTCTTCTCCCTTTCCTTCTCCGTCATCGTCGATTTTACCCTATTGTTTCTCGTGGCGTCGCACGCTTTCTCCTCGCGAAACCCCAAGCAGTCTTTCAATTCTATCTCGGACAGAAGTTGATAAATTGCCTCGGCATTGGTAATTTGACATTTCGAGTTCTGGCTCGCCTCTTCGACCCAAGTTATGGCGGTGTTGTAGGTAGTCGAAACCGTTTGCCACGCGTCTTCCTTCGTCGGTGAGTTCTCGCGGGACGCGGCCTCGGAGCCAGTCGCGAAATTTCGACATTGATCCGCCTCGGAGGTGGGTTGAGGAGCCGCCACCTCCGCGACGGAACGGCAACGTAGAACGGCAGAGGCGGAGGACGTTTGCGATGCGGGTGGGACGGAGAGGGACAGGAAGCGAGTATCGGTAAGAGCGGTACGCACGGGGGTGCTGGTTATACAGGGCGTATCGAAAGTTACAGGCGTGACAGATCTGGATACGGCAAAGTTTACGCACTTTGCTGCGTGGTTCTCGGCCAGGGTCCTGGACGCCCGCGCCTCCTGGAGCTCCCGTCGCAGCGCCAGATTCTCCTCCTCGAAGACTGCGATCTCGCGGCCTTCATTGCTAGTGCGAATAGAATCGATTTTTCTTTTCGTCTTTTCTTTCGGACAAAAGCGAGCTTTGACGTTGATTGCAGGGGAACCGATTTAATTGGAGTTGTACGAGTACCGTAAAACAGTTTCGAGGATCGCGTTCGTCGAGAAACGAAGCGAAGGATGATTGAAATACAATGTAATATCGGGACAAAGGTCATCCGGAAGTGCTGATTCATTATACCTAACGGATTACACTCGCCTCTTATCTTAAGCCACGCGACTTTATCGTAAGCGTTCAACTAGTCTGAAGCTATTGCCGGACGCCCAGATGACATCGTAGAGTTCGATTTCAAGCAACGTTTAAATCATAAACGAAACAACAGACGCAATGTATCGCACGCGATTTGTTGAGCAAAATAAACCGTTCGCTAAAATTGTTATATAAGTGCGAGGAATATCCGAAAAGTAAGGTTGCAACCTTTTTATTAAAAATGCATATATTTCAACGAAACTTACAGGTGTTGTTAATATAATTGTACACTCTTTTTCAACATAGCCGCCTCCAACTTGAATACATTTTGTCAGCCGAGAGACAAAGTTTTTTTATGCCAGTATCATAAAACGCTCGCGCCAACTTCATATCACTAACGATTTCATGAACAACAGTACGTGAAATTTCAGGACACATTTCGTGGAGATCGTCAATTGACGAACGGCGATCGGAAGGAAGGTGTTCTTCAATTTTGTGAACAATTTCAAGGAATTTCAACGACGGAAGGACGGACGTTCACGACAAAGAGAGAAGTGGACGGCCGTCTGTTGCGTCCGATGAAATATAGTTATTCGAAATTTTACTTGTGGTTGTTATTGCAATATTTATAGTACTTTACCAAATTAAAAACACGTTTTGGTTTGTGACAATCATATCATAAGTTGCATAGACCAATATTGTGTCTATGAGAACTGTGGTATAATACGTTGTTAGGTCAATCATAACTTACGTAGTTGAAAGAATGACAAAAATGTGGTTGGCTCCCAAAATGACTATAAATTATAGCGAGATTGTGGTAACTGCAACCATTTTTCTTCTCTCAGTGTATGTTGAAAAATAGTGTACAACTACATTAACAACGCCTGTAAGTTTCATTAAAATGTATGCCTTTTTGAATTTTGTTTAAATGTTGTAACCTTACTTTCCAGATATCCCTCGTAAATGCGTGAGAAAACTTGTACGTGTATCCCTCGGCGTAGGGATTGTGAAACGAAAAAGAAAGAGCTAAAAGTAGGAACAAACGACTATGATGAACCATAGCCGACTAAGAAGAAGGTATGTATAATTGGAATCAATTTTTCCGACAGGCTTTATCAGAAACACTGAGGTGCAGTGTCGTATTTTTATCGCGCCTTTTAAATTATACACCGACGGAGCAGTGTTGGATACAAAACAAATACTAGAACCTGAAGCAAGCTTCTAAATATTTACAAATGCTAAAAAGCTTACTTACGTTGCGCTCAGCTTCAACGCCGTCATTTCCTCCTCCAGTTTTGCGACACGTTGGTCACTTTCTTCCTTCTCTCTCATAAGCTTCGCCAATTGATTCTTCAACAAAAAGAGGTGTGCAGCGTTAATCGTCAGACAAGATAAAACGAGTAATACATAAAAATTACATACACAAAAATTTTCAATAATTGAAACACCATTACACATTGAAACACAAGTAAAAAGTCCTGTATTACTTTTCCCTCCGACAGTTATTGAGATATTATAAGCTAAACATGTAAAAAGTTATAAATTTTCTCTTGAATATCTCAAAAAGTATTGGGCAAATCAAAAAATGTTTCAGACAAAAGTTGTTCATATTAATTAGTGGAATAAGATAGTACCTATAATAAACAATAGGGAGTTCCATTTAAAAAAAATGACAGCGACCTCCATGTAACCATAAAAATTTATTTTTTTCGAAAATTTATTTCCTCATTATATAGCCCTTTTAAAACCGTATAACTTTTGTCTGAAACATTTTTCTCTAAGATGTTCTATTTCCGAAATAAAAGGGCTGTACGGGCGGTCTGAATCACCCTGTATATATTTCTTCATTTTATCATAAACTGTTGTCATTTGATGAATTCTTTTACACTCGCAAAAACATTCAAATGACAAATATGCCTGTTTTGTAAAAGCGCGTGAACCTGTTTTACACAAATATGTTTTACACGAATATGAATTATTCTCCAGAGACAGGACCATCCTCGTTTTTACGCGACGTCGGCGTCGAATGTAATTGAATTTTTTTTTCTTTCTTATCTGCTCTAACCACTTTATCTCGATGTTTAAAGGTAACCGCGACACGCTGGGAAATACGTGCGTAAAAAGAAAGGGAGGGCAAGGAGCTGTGGGAGGCAACCTTGATCGGCTCTCACGTGCAGCAAAATTTACATGGACGCGGAGATGGAGGGTCCCGGAGGTTCAATTACGAGATTGCCAATATGCAAGCGACATGGCGGTGGCGGCCATCGCTTCGGCTGATGAGGCTAATGGATGGTTGAAACCTGAGAAGAACGGCAAAGAGGAAAAAGAGGCCAAGGGAGAGGCCCCTGACAGCCACTAAGTGCGCTCCGTCCTTCTCCACCCTTCCCCGGTTCTCTCCCTCCCTCCCCTCCCCCCCCTCTTCCTTTCCCGTCCCTTCAGTCCCAGCCCTGTTCTCTCTCGCCTCTGCAACACTCTGCCCGCCGCGGATGCCCTCATGTGAAACCTAATCACTTTTAGCGCGTCACGGATATTTCGTATTATGTCTACATTGCGTTCTCCGGTATCGGCCGACTTTATCAGCCGTCTCTCCACGATTCGACCTTTTCCCTTCATCTCCCCCGCCCTCGGCCCCCGGCCGTTCACGGAGTCAAGTCGCGCGTGCAGCGAGCCCTAATCGGCTGATACGTTTCTCAGGGGCTAGATCGCGGGGCCAATTTTTTTCCCAAAAGCGTCGAAAAACCCTACATGACCTCTTCAATCTCAAACCTCTTTTGTGAACCTGGTTTTTTTTTCTTTTTATTCGAACGACGGTGCAAACGATGGATAAATTTTAAGAGGCCAATACTCTCCGCGTGTATTCAAGTGTATTTTCAGTTTTATACCTATCGCAATGCCGTCAGTAATGACGTGTGCATAATAAAAGATATTACGTATTACAACGCACGATTACAAGCTTGGGCGGCAGTCAACAATAGAGCAGCACAATTCGTATTAGATAATGCAACATCTTTCCGTCTGTGTGTCAAATCGATACGTATATGCGAATGTATGTAATAACGACACATTTGCGTGTTTGTGCTGATGTAGTACACAGTACTCTAATGCGTACCATAATTACACATCGTCATATGTGCGCGGGGGAAATTGATTTTTCTAAATAATTGATAATGTGCGATCCCGGCCGTTCACGTTGCCGACTTTTTCGATTATTAAAATTATTTAATTCATACAACAGATCGCGATGGAAAAGACACGCGTTTAGTAACAATTTTTACGCGCATTTCTCAGCGATAAATAAAATGTGGAAAAGGAAAGAGAGAGAAGTGAGGAAAGGTAGGGAAAAATCAGTCATAAAATGTAAATGTTAATCTAAAGCTAATGAGCGAAATCTACCGCAAATCAATTCTGCAAAGTATCTGCTACGAACTTTGTTGGCAGAAAGACTACAGATAATGGATCGGACGTATATAATGCTGTTTGCAGAATGATAGCAAAATCCAGGACGTAACGTACTTGCCGTACACATCGGCAACAGAAAGAGAACAAAATCTACATTTCACAGATTCTGCTCGGTTTCTGCCGTTCTGTCATCATCAATCAGATTATACTAGCAGGCTCTATCGGCAAACTATGAATTTAATACGGGCGAAGTTAATGCTGATTTGCCAGCGATTTCCGATAGGTCTACGGTCAATTTGCTGGCGGCGGATAATTTGCTTCCCGCGAAGATTATTTATTAACGGGTTAACCGAGTAACTAGGAGTGCACAAACGGGCGGGAACCAAATCAATTGTACAGATTTCGCGTAGGTACGTTAACCGAGAGAAAGTTGAAAAAAAGGCCGATAGGTACCGCACGATCACCTGGCCGTCCTAATCAAACAGAACGTAAGAATGTCTGCGCAAACATTACGTCCACGATCGTGGCCGGAAGAGCGAATGCCGAAAATATTGAACCGAGTGCTCATATTACCGTATCTCAATCGCGACATGAGCGTACGCGAGGAAAAAGAAAGAGGTCCGCTGCCTTTGTTTTCCGTTCCCATATTCCCTCGCGTTTAAAAATGAGCTTATAGCGCACACGTGCACGTGTCTTTTCTTTAATTTTATTATCTAAAAAATTTTTACTTTACTAATTCGCGTTCCACCCAAGTTTTTTAATAGATATTTAAAAATGAAGCTAACGAGATGATAATAAGATTAAGTGCAAAAGTAATATTTAATATTGCATGAAGATAATCTCGAAATTTTGCGCGTACAGACTGCTCTACATATTGTCATTTTATTTATTGAGGATTATTAACTTCTTTACATTTTGTTTGTCTGTTTTTTTTCGAAATAAAATAGAAGATTATTTAATAAACGCCTATAATAATTAAATACAGCTCAATTTAAATGTAGCTATCCTCTTAGTACTTTCGGCGGGTCATGTGTTCAAAGATAAAAGGTACATTCGGGTAAAAATGCAAGAGAATAATCGAAATATCGAATTGTGGAACCATTCGATGTTGTCGCTTGAGCAAAATAATTACTGCGTACAAATTAACATACTGCAAAGAATATTTATATGAAGAATAAAGAAGCTCTACACACCTTTAGTTCGTCAGTTTCTCTCGCTTGTTGATTACATCTCTCTTCCAACATAGATTTAACTTTTGTAATTAAACCTTCTTCGCAGCTTCTGTTGGCGTCTCTGATTTCGCGTATAAATTCTGTAACAATTACAATGAAAGCAATATAATGATCGTTCCGTGTAAAATTGCGTGAAACCAGTACAGGCCTGTGTCCACGACGCTAGAACTTGGTCCCAGTTTCGAGAGAAATGTGTAGCCGATCAACTTGCAGCTTTCATGGAATAGCTGCACGCATTTCTTGGAACTTGGACCAAGTTCTAGCATCGTAAACGCAGACCTTAACATGGTTATTAGAATATTCAAGAATTATTCGGTACCTGATAGCATTCCAGGTTGGTAATCCGCAGGCGTGCTGTGTTTACATTGCGCCAATTTTGCTTTGACACTTTCTAAACTCGACTTGGTCTCACTAAGCTCTTTAAACAGCTGGCTGTTACATTTTTTCAGCTCTGTCATCTGCAACAAAATATTGGGAAGAGCTACGTTAATAAACAGTATACAATTACCCAACTCATGTGCCAAGGTCATTTCAAATAATCGTGTCAAGACGAAACATCCTATTTAATCCAACGCGCCTTCAGATAAGACAAGTACAAACCTGCTCGATAAGCGACAGAACGAGCTTGTTGCTGCGGCTAATCGTCGTTACTGAACTCCCGCTCTCGACGCTGTCGGAATCGTCGATGTCCGAACAGGCCGAGTTCCCAGCAGGTCCCAGCCCAGGATCGGAGTACCGTCTGTGCTCCGAGCTGAGTTCGTCGCCGTTGACGCCGCTGTCTTTATTGGCGGTGGGTGGTAGACTGGTGTAATCTCCGTTTTGAAGGGCGATATGTACAGCGGGCTCCAGGACGCCGTTCTCCCGCAGGCTCTCGTAACCGTTGACGACGTTGTTGTTGGCGCCAGGGCGAACGTTCGCGGAGTGCCTGTTGCAGCGATGCCTCTGCCTACCGTGGACAGCTGTAACGTTTGGCACCGGCATCGGCTGGTACATCCTGTACATCGCCGGCAGCGAGACCGGCTGCATGGCGTACGTCATCGGCATCGGCGAGTAGCCGCAGACGCTCGGGTCCGACATCGCGGTGAATAGACGCTGGCCGTTACCCGGCACGCTCTGCGGCACGCCCGCGGACTGCCACAGCATCTGCTGCGGCGGATACTCCACGCCGGCCACCAGGCCGCCGTCCTCGCTCCGGGGGGCGCTCGGCCACGCGTCCGCCGGGTTGCTCCTGCGCCCGGATCGCCTCTTGCTCTTCCTCGAGTGGCTCGGTGGCGTCTGACGCGGCGGTCTCGACGGGTTCGACAACCTGCAACGTCGACCGTGGTTGTTTACACCGGAACCTAACCTCCGCGCGAGCGGTCGCGCGAACGCGGGACTCTCACCTCTGCTCCATCCCGCCGGGCGACTCGATCCGCATCAAGAGGGCCTGGCTCCTCGCGAGAGCGCGCGCGGCATCCGCGAGACGGGGGCGTCAGGCGGTTGGTCGGGCCAGCGTTCCAGTTCTCTCACCGCTCCCCGGGCCTCCAGCTCCAGCGCGACGTCGACAGATCCGTACGGGCGTCTCGCACTACCGTGGACGACACTACCGTCGACGGCGGCGGCCGTGGAGGAGCGCGAACGGGCCTCGTCGGGACGGGGCAGGAGGTCGTGCGACGATTTCACACGATTTCACACGCGAGAAACCGCGGGTATGTGGGTGAGTCCAGTTGACAGCGACCGCCGCGAGCCGGGCGATATCCTCGGTCGATAACGCGACGACTGACAGCCCGACCTCTCGCGCGACCATCGATATCACGCGCACGTGCGACGCGTATCGCGCGACCTAACCTCGCGGGCGGAGAAATGGCGGCCGCTGGGGGACGGACGGAGGACGAGAGGAGCAAGCCGATCTTCCGCGAGCTGTCGGCCGGCGATCCGGAGCCGGAGATTACGGAAATCGAGAGCCTGTGCATGGAATGCGGCAAGAATGTAAGTTAAGACCGAACCTACGAATACGTCGAGTATTTATTGTCCCAAGTCCACAACGGGTTGTCGGAAAGCGGAATCAGGCATCCTTTTTCACCCAGGAAGAAAGTACAGTCGTGCAGTTCTGATTTCTTACTAAGAGTCTGAGCAGAATGACTGTCTTGTACTCTTAAGACAATGTTTCGTGTTTGAAATCTTTGTCTTAAAGTAAGGACCTGAGCAGAATGGCTGTCTTGCACTCTTCAGACCTAGGACAGTTATTGTGCGTTCCTTTAAGACAAGGATTTAAAACACGAAACATTGTCTTAAGAGTACAAGACAGCCAGTCTGCTCAGGCCCTAACTTGTACATTGTAGACCGGGCCTAAGACGAAGCCTTAAAACACTGTCCCAGGACTGGGTACAAGTGTAACGCACTATAATGTCTTGTGTCTTGAGAGTACTTCTGCCTCAGGCTCTACCTCTCGCCGAGAATGCGCGTTCTCACCGTTGTTTTACTCCCACCTAGGGCGTCACCCGGCTGCTGTTGACCAGAATCCCGCACTACAAGGATGTGGTGCTCATGTCCTTCGAGTGCGAGCACTGCGGCTATCGGAACAACGAGATCCAGAGCGGCGGCAAGATAGCGGAGAAGGGGATCGAGATGACGCTGCGAGTGGCGACGTCGCAAGATCTGAATCGCCAGGTGGTCAAGTCCGACTACACCAGCATTCGCGTGCCCCACTTGGACTTCGAGATTCCCGCGCAGTCCCAGAAGGGAGAGATCACGACTGTGGAGGGGATAATCGACAAGAGCATCGGCGCGTTGGAGCAGGATCAGCCCAGGCGTCGGGAGGAATTTCCAGACACCGCGGGCGAGATAGATCTGTTTATTAGCAAATTGCGCGCGCTGAAGATATTGGACGAACCGTTTACCATCATCTTTCAAGACGTTTCGGGAAACAGCCACGTGGAGAACCCGAAGGCGCCGATCAAAGATAGCCAGTGTACTGTAACGTATTTCAAAAGGACGAAAGAACAGAATCATATGTTAGGGATATATTCTGACAACGAGGACGTTTTACTCAAGCCCATACAGGAGGGAGAATATCCTTTGGAGGAAATTGAGGGCGAGGTGATGTCCTTTCCTACCAATTGTCCGGACTGCAACAGTCCTTGTGAGACAAACATGAAGCTGACGAGTATCCTTTCATTATACCAGATGCAAATTTTATTAGGAATGCAATATCGAAGTCGGGGGGACAAAAGAATGAATCTTTATGTAACACGCTATTAAAATATTTTATGACTTGTTGTTAGCTAGGAACACTTTTGCTTAACTACAAGTTGCATATGAATTTTTCCTTAATATGATATTAAGATATACCGCACTTTAAAGAGGTTGTTATAATGGCCACGCTGTGCGAGTCTTGTGGTCACAGAACTAATGAAGTGAAAAACGGCGGTGGGATCGAACCACAAGGAGTCAGAATTGAAGTGACGATAACAGGTAGGGAAGACTTCAGTCGCGACCTACTGAAATCCGAGACCTGCGACATGGAGATACCCGAGCTCGAGCTGGAGGTCGGTCCAGCCATTTTGGGCGGTCGATTCACGACCGTCGAAGGGATCGTAGCGGCGATGAAAGAACAGTTGTCGTCGTCCACAGCTTTCACCGGTGACAGCAGTGACTCGGAAACCGTGAAGAGGATGGACACGTTTATCGCACAATTGGGGAAAATTTTGGACGGTCAGAGAAAAGTGACTTTGATACTCGACGACCCGGCCGGAAATAGCTACGTGCAAAGTCTTACCGACGACGGGCCTGACGATAGATTGAAGATCACCAAGTACGACAGAAGTTTCGAGCAGAATGAAGAGCTTGGTCTCAACGATATAAAAGTCGAAAATTATTAGGTGTCTACTAAAATAGAGAAACAAATATCGTTACAGTACAAAAGTCATTACATGTAAGAATGGGTGGGAACGAAACGTCCCGAACTACTTATTGTTTTTATAACAATTTTATTGTTGAAATGATTCATCGTGTAAATACAAATTTTTACTTTGGGGGCGGAAATCTACTCCACTATTGGTAATCTCTATTTTCTTAAATAGTCTTCTAATAATTAATCTTCGCCTGCGTGCCTGTAAAAGGGAAAGAAGCTTTTCTTTAAATATGACTCGCGAAGCGACATAGCGTACGTATGTAGAAAAGAGATCTTGCAGAACGCATGGCATACACAATCGGTATCGCGTCGAGTTTTTTCAACGCGGGCAATCGCCTGACAACTTGCGCGCGCCACAATTCCGCGTCCATGTTCTCGCATATAGGATTATTAATGAATAACAAGTCCTGAAGATTCGGTATCTCTTGCAGGCGATTGAATTCCGCCCAGTCTTTCACCAAATTGTTGCCCATGTACAAAACTTTGAGCGCTTTCAGAGCATTGACACCTTTAATCTTTTCAATCAAGTTGTAAGATATCCACAACTCCTCCAAATGATCACCAATCGCCTCCAATCCTGAGAAGGTTTTAATATTGTTCCTGCTCAGAGACAGGATCCTCAGATATTTCAGCGAGTTAATACCGCTGATCTTTTCGATTGCATTCGTCGACAAGGATAACTTTCTACGAATATTTTTGAGACATGTTACTCGTGTTGTATAATGTGCTATTGTTAATTCGTTAAAGAAACACGAACTCGACGCTAATTAACGCCGCCAAATTGTTGTCCATTCTCTCGATTGGAGGCCACTGGAAGGATAAAATGATCTCCTTTTGTTCGCTCGCGACCAGTCCCGTTTTTTCTTCCCACCTTTGAATGGCTTCTTTGCACGTTGTCGCTTTAGCCTACATAATTTTAGATTTTACCTTCAAGGGAAAATGTGATTATTCCAAAAATCTGTTACCATAATTTTCAGGGATAAATCTTTCCAGCAATTGCACAAATTAATATCAACCTTAATGGAATTAATGCGTCGAAGACAAATTGTCGTTGATAGTACAACGAACATATCCGCGAACACAATTCTCGGAAATTAGATAAAGAAATGAATATGAAGATATCAATTAACAGCCGCGATAGCGTCAAGTATACTTTTATGAGCCGAAATATAACGTTACAGCTGTAGAAAAACGATATAAGATTCTGCTCTCAAATCGCGAGCGAACGATTGCGTTTTCAAAATTTGCCGCGCTCGCGAGTAATTTCATTGGCCTGGCATTGGCCGCGTTCAGCAGACACTACTGTTGAGTGAGCGCTCAGTATGATTGGTTAATACTTTTAGATCCAGCCAATCATATTAAGAAATCGTTGAGCGCTCACTCAACAGTTGTGTCTGCTGAACGCGACCATTGGCTGCGTTCAGCAGAAAAAGCTGCTTTGCAACTGCTGTAAAATTCGTGAATCTGATTGGCGTATTCTCTTCATCTTGAGTGAATTTAAGAGCATACGCCAATCAGATTCATGAACTTTACAACAGTTGCAAAGCAGCTTTTTCTGCTGAATGCAGCCGTTTATCTTGCCAAGACGTTTAGTGATATTTAAAAATGGACAAAATTCAAAACAACAGTAGGGCCAGTATTCATAGTCGTCAAGATCATCTTTCGATACTCCGTAGCCAATGAAATGTTCCGTACAGCATCTTTAGATAAATTCAAGACAGTCTTGAATATAGGATCCGACTATAAATACTGGCCTAGAACTGCCGCATTGAATTGCAAAAACATACATCCTTTGTTTCCGCGATCTTAATTAAAACCGATAGGATTGGCAGCGAGAAAAGAGGTCGAAATGGAAGCTAATGGCAAGTCTTCAATCGACGTCTCGTCGCGCACAATCGGCCCCGTCGGTAAACACAATTCTTCGGCATTTATATAAGGTTTGCTTCTTATTGGTGCTATTCCATAAAAGCTGCAAGTTGATTGGCTACACATTTCTCGGAACTAGAACTTGGACCGAGCATCGTGGACACAGGCCTTTAGTCAAGTATATATTTTTTCATTCTAGCTTACTGCACTAGTGTAGCAATAGAAAACAAGCCTATGATCTACTCGAGATCGAAATTGCGAACTAGGGGCTCGATTCTTGAAATCATTCAAAAGAGAAACGTATGCGAGAATTACAGAAGAGTTACAAGTCGATTGGCTGAAAGCTATGCGCATAGCCAATCAACTTGCAACTTTTCTGTAAGAGCAGAATTTTCGCATACGCTTGTCCTTCGAATGAATTCGAGAGCGCGGCGCGTTTTCGCGACGACACGTGACTGGCCGCGTTCAGCGGATAAAACGGCATTGTAAAATCTCGAATCTGATTGGCGCGTGCTCTTAGGCTTCTGCCAGGATCAAGAGCACGCGCCAATCAGATTCGCAAGTTTTACAACAGTCGCACAGCCACGTTTACGAATCGGCGAACTGTCCGGCCCGCGGCCCGAGCCCGATCCGACCAATGGCCGTCGCGGACGCGCGCCGCGCGCGGGCCCGTCGACGTCGCCGACACGCGCGACTGATTGTGGACGCGCGAGCGTGCACTCGCGGATTCAATCGTGCATGCGACCGACCGACACCGCCGATGAGATGCCGAACCGATCGAAAAGGGACAAGGTACGTCTACCGCGATAGACGATCGTCGCCGTCGCCGCCGTGGCCGTTTATCGTGCGCGCGCGAAACACGCTCGTCCTATCCAGTGATTACGATATACGAGTGGTGGCTACGACGGTGCGCGCGAGACAAAGAGGAAAAGATAGGAAGTAAGCGAAAAGAAGAGAGCGAGAAAGGGAAACGGCGAGGCGGAGCGAGTCGGCGAGAAAAGGGAGAAAGCGAGCGAGAGAGAGAACCGCGAAGAATCGGGGGGAACAACCGCCCGGCAGGCGGATCTTCTCGGCCACCCGAGAGAGGATGTAGCGTGACTCCGGTTTCTTGACCCGATCCCGATTCCGAGTCGCTCCGCTCGTTCGCGCGGCCGCGGCACGCGCGCGCGCGCGCGCGCGCCCGAGACGAGACCGCCCTCTCTGTTCCGCCGTCCGCGCGCGAGCGCGACTCCAGTCCGGCCCGACTTTGCCAGACCCCGTTCGGCTCTTCTCGCCACCGACCGGGATTAATCGCGCGCGCGTTGCGCGATCGTGCTCGGTGCTCGTGCTCTCGGCTCGGCCCCTCTCGGTTTCGCCCCTTGCCGACGCGTACGTCGCCGACGGCTACGACGACGACGACAACGACGACGAAGACGCGTGCTGCTGCTGCTCACTCGGCCGCGCGCCCGGAACGAGCGCAATGGTATTAACCTTCTTCGCCCGTGCGCTTCTCTTCGCACCGACGCTCCCGCTGTCACGCTCTCTCTCTCTCTCTCTCCCTCTCTGATTCTCTCTCTTTCGTCCGCGCGTTAAATATCGCGAGTGCGGGAGCGCCGGAAGTCCCCTCCCCCCGCGCGCAAGCACCGTACCGGTACTCATTACGCTTCTGTTCCAGGAGACGGCGAAAAGCGGCAAGGAGAAGACGAAGAACGGCAAGGACGTCGACGCCGTTGACGAGGTGAGGTTATATTGTCTCTCTCTCTTTCCTCCTTCCTACCGCCGTCCTCCTCCGTCGCGCTGCGAGAGAGTCGCCTCCTGTCATCGCGGATCGTCAGTCAAGCCCACGAGCCGCCGTGTGAACGCGGCGACCACCGTCGGCGGACTCCACGGTGACAGGTCGCATGGCCGACCCGACATCTTGCATCTCTCGCTCGCTCCTCCTTGCTCCGCGGATTACGCGAGAGTGCACGTACGTGTGCACCGGACGCTTGGATCCTGGATAGAGGCCTCGCGTGAATTTAAAGAGAATTGCAAAGCCGGCCTATCGAGAGAGAGAGAGAGAGAGAGAGAGAGAGAGAGAGAGAGAGAGAGAGAGAGAGAGAGGTGTCTCCGCAACGTGGCTGTCTTTGCGGCACATTAATTGCCGGAGTATGTTTACAGTTTTGATGGAGTATCAGCGTGCTCCTTATTCTTCGCGCTGGTGGACTTGTCGTTTCGTGTTACGTGCCGTTTATGTAATTTGTATCACTACGATTTGCAACTTCCACGACTGCGATTATTGATTGCGAAAGAATATTTATATAACTGTTGTATTAATAGTGCGCTGTTATGTTATAGATAACATCCTTCAGAGAAATAGAATTTCAGTCTGGAGTCTGTCTCGTGACAATGAGAATGCGAGGGAGCGAAAGAGAGAGAGAGACATTTTGTGGTCGAAATCTATTTTCTTTCACGCTTTATAAATACAGAATATGATTCATGCAAAACGTCGAGATTAAAATAGACACGGAGGCGCAATCGTGCTATGCGCATTGAATGTCGCGTATGATTTAACAAATATGACGTCCGAGGTACACATGTCGTTTTTCAGTTGTACAAATTCCCACGTGAGAATGCAAGCCACTGATTAGAAGTAGCGAACTGTAGACGGCTTATCTGTGTATCTAAATTTGCTGCAAACTTGAGGTGGTGGAGGAAAGTCCCCTGTTATGTGATAGGATCCTAATATGGGATAGCGGGATTTCTGTTAAATCAATGGGCATCGTCGGTTGATTCCACCATGAATTTATTGCCCTCGGTGCGAAATCTGCTTAGCGGAAAATTCACAGTTAGATCGTGTAATCGTTGCGAGAAAAGATCTGCGATTGAATCCGAGTGTTGAAAACCTGCTGTCTCATATTAGAAACCTATCTCATAATAGAGGACTTTCCTCTGTCCCTTTCAAATGACACAGTTGTGCCACGATGACAGAATGTTCTTAATCTCGTTAGTTAGGCTTCTCTACCGAGTTATCAAGTATTTTGCTATTATTTCTCAAGCGCATACCACCCTAATCAGGTACGTGCGATCGATAAAAAGACGATTCTGATATTCGTCGAGGGACAATTAGCGAGAAGAATGATTGCCAGTTTGTTTGTATATTACGAATCCTATAAATTTCCTTAAAGCGATAGAATCGTCGCCGCATTTCTCTCGTGTTTCTTATATGTAGGGCGATAAATGCATTTTCTTTGTAGCAGCAAAAGAAATGATTCACGCTTTGCAGTGGAGAACTTGTGATTAATATCGTTCAATGAGCGATTTAAACGCGAATATTATTCGTCGAGCAGCGAGATAAAAGTTATCGCGTCGAGGTTGAAACAGTTCCTGGCTAGATGGCGCACCTGTGACACTAAGGCTCGCAGCTGAGGATGAAAAGCAATGTTGATATCAATTTTTTTTTTAAATAACGATTTTTCATAGTCGATAATATCTCGAGAGCATCAATAATCGGCAAACGCGGAAGTTTAATTTTTACACCTGTTTAAACTAACGCGATCTAAAACACTAAACCATTAAACTAACAAACCGTACAAATATATAATAGCTTCGACCAAAATTTGATTTACTCAATTAAAGTAGAGAGAAGTTCCCTATTATGAGACAGGCTCCTAATACGAGATAGCGGGGTTTCTGTTAGATTAATAGGCATCATCTGTTGATTCCACCATGAATTTTATTGCCCTTGGAGTGAAATCTGTTTAGTGGAAAATTGATTGTTAGATCGTGTACTCGTTGCGAAAGAGGATTTGTGATTGAATTTGGGCGTTGAAAACCTGCTGTCTCATATTAGAAACTTGTCTCACAATAGAGGACTTTCTTCTGCTAATTAATTTAACTGTATTACAGCGAAACTTCTAATTCGTTGCCCTCAATTTGATCTTCCTTTTCGTGTCAAGAGTCCATTCAATATCTATTAAATGTAAAATTAATAATTCTACTCACGGCATTATTAAAAAATACCTTCAATATAATGGCGATAAATGATAAGTTAATTATCCACTTAACGTCCATTAAATTAATCGGAA